AAAGAGAATGAATCAAAGTTATTAGAATGCACAGATCGTATATTAAATATTATGTAAGTACTTTCAGTGAATTTTGTTGATGAAATCAATATTTTAATATTATTTTGTAGTAGGGGTATATGGAATAATCCTGCATTTGCAACCAGTAAAATGCGGAGTACTCAAAGCGAGGGTACATATGTCACAGATATTATTGTACCTTTACTTTGAGCTAGCTTAGAAGATCTTCCCAGTGGTGTCATATTTTTGAGTACAACTGAATGACAAAGTATAGCAAAACTCGAAGAAGCTCTAGCTCTAATGAAGAAAGACCTATACAAAAAAATTTAATAGGAAAAAAACCAGATGTTATGGTTATGACAAAATATAGAGGCAAGGTTTTTGAGCTTACTTACATTGAATCATCTCGGGTTATTTGTACTAAATCGAAAAAAGATGATGATTCCATAAAATTGTGGAGGGAGACTTTAGATGGAATAAGTTTCGTAGGGAATGCTTGCAGACCGGCAAGTAATCAATTTGGTATCATTGGGATTCAAGTAGCTGGTGAAAAATTATTTTTAAATGTCTTAATAAAAGACGCAAGTGGAATACCTAGATATTTCCATTTGGATCAGGTTGAAATGCCTTTTGCAGAAAATATTCCATGACACGTGGAACCCCTTGTTCATTTACTTTTAATATTTAGAAACACCATGATCGTAAATCAAAATTTACTTATGCAAGCTTTAGAACAAGCCGATGCACGCCCTCCAAGAAATGCACAACAAAGTCCCACTGTTACTTCACCATTACGTACTTAATTTTATTCCTGATTCCTGTATTTTTATCTTATATTTTTATCCTGTATATTTACCATATATATATATATTTTTTTATTAATAAAGATTTTTGATTAACGTACAACATATCATGTGTTATTTTTTGTATAATGTATATATGATCGAGAATTTTTCCAAAATAATTTTCTATTGTGAAACAATGGACTTCGCCCTGGCAAAAGTGATCAGCGTGACAAATTGTCACGGGCTAGTATTTTTTTCGCATATTGTATGTGTAATCAGGCCCAGAGGACGTCTCCATGAGGCATAATTTTTTGGAATAATTTTCTTTGCGAAAGTGATCTACATGTCAAATTTCTGTGGCAATTCTAATTAAAAATTAAATAAACCTGCTTTATATAAAAAGTTACTAAAATGCAATCCAAGTTTGATTTATTGAAACAACGAGTCATTGATCTTGAGGCCGAGAATGCAAAGTTAAAACAGATTATAGAAGAAAATGCTAAACGCGAAGCCGAGAATGTTAACCTTAAGGTGGAGCTAGAAAAAAATAAAAAAGATATCACCAATCTCTCAGCTGAGAATTCTGAGCTTAAAATCAAAATAGTAAAATTGAGCTGTGATTTTGAGGAAATAAGATCAAAGGGAGTAATCATTGATTTTCCGGAGCAATTGCCAATTTCCGAGAAAAAGATGGTAAGTGTTTCTACTGAAATGAAAAATTTTAATGATACCCCCGAACAGATAGACTTACAAATTGAGGATGTTTTGACATCAGATATATCCGATAACACTTCAAATTCTGACGTTAGCCTACCTCTGATTGATAATACTTCTGAACAGATAGTCTCACGTAATGAGGAGTCTAACACATCTAGTCACTCTGTGTTTGCCTCCAGCAACTCTGATATATATCAGGATTCAGTAACCCTCACATCTCCTATTCCCTCAGAAACTATATCATTGGAAGAGAAGGAAGAAAATGAATTTCTGGATTCAATGTATAAGGAACAGGTCAGTAAAGAGATAATGAAGAGAATTAGGGAGAAGAAACTTCAAGATCAAGAGGCACTCTCAACTCCTGAGACTAATACTCCTGATATTTCACATGAGCAAAGTTTAATACAAGAAAAATGCCAAGAAATTTCTGTCACGAAACGTGACGATCGGCAAAAAAAACTTTTTGGATTTTGATGAAATTGAGCCTACTAAAAGTCGGTGTATAGAGCAAGGATTGATGAACCAATTGTGAAGTAATAGAGATATTGTCTCACCAGTTTCCTTAGAGATTACGGAACATCAATTATCTCAAGTTACAACGCAGAGATTGGTTCGTTTATTTCAAAATGCAATACGGGTTAGACATGAAGAAATTTTATCTTGGTACCATTACTCTGATAATTTTGAAAATAAAGTTATCGAAATTTGCTGTGAGACTGGAGTTACAGATAAAACTGCTAGAACACAATTATACAAGGAAATGTTAAACCATCTACCTGGTATTACATCAGGAAACTTGCGTATGAAAATTTTAAGAGTCAAGAAAATTCGGATGTTATTTGGAAAAGATGGAGTTGGAATAGAAAAAATTAAGCAAGTTACCTACAGTATATATGTCATTTCAAGCCTTACTAATAGTCAAATTCAAAACGTTATCAAGAATGTAACTTCAGTAAAACCATTATTGAAAACTGCTACGAATAATAATCATGTGATTTCAAAAGCCATCACAAAACGTGACGATCAGACTAATGCGAAGGTAAGTATTTCATCTATACCACCTACCTTAAAACCTATTACTGAGAAAGCTTTATTCGAGAAACAGAATAATCCAACTCATAACCGTACTTACTTTTATAATAAGATATTGTTGCGATATTCTGATCTACTGTATATAAAACATTTATTATGGAAAAATTTGATTACTATGATATTATCGAGGGATCATTATGCCCAGTATGTAAATTATATCATGAAGATGAGAAAAGTGTAAAAGGTAGATACAAAGCTGGATCCTATTTTATTATATGCGGAAAGTGCGAAATTGAGATAATAGTATAAATTATAAAGTCATCCAGGTATAGCCACTATGTGACAAGTTTTCTGGTTTCAAACATTTGTAAATTAGTTAGACCCGAGGAGCTATCGCTTTGCAATATTATATTTATTTTTTTTTATAATTGTTATGCACAATTCATAATTTGAATTTGCGATCATATAAAACAATAATATGGATAAACCCTTAACCCTTGAATATTTGAACTGGCATGCTAAATTGGTTGATTCACCGAGTCATTTGACAAATAAAATTCGTTTGAGCTTATATAGAGCGTATATGGAAGAGACTGAACTCGATCCCTAGATAAAGTCTGAAGTTTCTGAATCCTCACAGATCGAAAATGCTGATAATCATCTTTCACGAGAATGTATCATCAAAATTTCCAAATTTCCGGAAGAGAAAAGTACAATTCATGATGTAGTACATAAATGCTTTCCTTTCTTGACATATACCAATTCTAATACATGACATCGAGATGTATTTAAATATACAGATCCAAAAGCTAAATGTTCGATATGCAAAAATGTACATACACATTTAGGTATATGGGGTGACTGGAGCTATCTAGGTAAAAATGATCACTATTTTCTTAATTGCCCTTTTCGTATCGATCAAAAGAAAATTATAATTGTTGTATAAAGTTTGTTGGAAACTCAGATAGTAGTGCCAAACAAAATCAGTAAACCGTGACAATTGATAAAAAAAAACTTTACTAGAGTTAAGTGATGATCCCACCTTCTTATGATTAAGCTTACTCAAAGTCAGAAAAGTCAGATAACATGTACATTTTTTCTCCAAGAGGCAATGACAAAAAATTGAATCATCTAATCTGCACATATTTTTTCTGAAAAAATTATTATTGCCAATCATAAATTAACTTATTTTTACGTATATAAGCTCTATACCCGATATACCACCAGAGGATACGTATATAAGCTCTGACATATCATCAAGTATGCCCAAGAGTGTGATGCCATATCTTGTATAACAGAAGAATAGTACTCCCTCTTTGGTTGAATCACATTCTCAGATTTTGATGGGAGGGGTCGAAGTGATGAAACCCAGTCTCGAGGCAAAGCCTCTTCCAGTTGTAGCACATAGTTTGGTGTCATCTCTATTGGTATGTATGCTACTTGCCTTGTTGGTGCTTGTGATTATCTGCTTCGTGATATTGAGACGCACATGGGGCATAGGTAAAAAAAGTGAGTGGTTGCGAGATATGTGATACAAGTAATCAAGTAATATGAATTGGATTTTTTATTACATGTGAATATTAGCTCTGATTTCATGTAATACTTGTACTTTCCTCAGAATCACTTTCAAAGTATAAAGGCGAACATTTATCTTTACCCCATATGTCGTATGCAATATTTGAAAGTTTTTTTCCTTCTATAAAACTTATAATTTCTGCTAATGTAAATGCATTAGAATTCATAAATCCTTGTAGTAGTGCTTCTGGATTCTTTATATCCAGTATGTTATATACGAATTTTTGCAGAGTTTTCTCTCTCCATCGCCTAACCTCTTTTTCATTCCAATGCTTTTTGATCTTGTCAAATAAGTGTAACCAATCTCGATAAATAAAATACCAATCAAGTCTCCATCCTTTTTTCCATCTATATTCCTTGACAAATTCATAACATTCCTCAGTATGGCAATAACGAAAGTATATCATTTTATAATAGCTATCATCATACATTGTTAATTATTGGTATATATAGCAAAAAAAATTACTCGTGTATATATTTACCCTTTTTCTTTTTTAGTTCAGAAAATAATTTATATGTTAACTATATATATTAACTATACACATTATCTATTTTTTTTCTGACTTCAAACTTGTGAGAAAGCAGTATGCAGAAAAATTCAAATCAAAAATTAATGCCCGATACCTAGATCATATAAAGGATTTTTGTGTCGTGCGATTTTGAATGATAGGATTTAGATGACCAGACACTTATTAAAGTGGGTTTTTGGGTCGCGGAGGGTAGTCATCGCCTGGAGCTAATATCAAGACATATAGTATCATTAAACAGATATCGAAAAAGTGATACGCAAAAGAATACATAGGTCATCGCAAGGTTCACCTACCTGCCTAGTCGAGATGAAATTTTGGTAAGTGCTTCTGATATATGAGGTAAGGTAAGTTGTTACATTACATAATATTACTATAATTTTGCGATATAATTATTTTTGTATTGTATAATTTCAATTGAGGTGAAATTTCAGGTAAGTGATATGTAATAGCGGAGCTTGTATCAGCTGAAAGCTGGTTTAAACTTTATATATCATTAAACAGATATCAAAAAAGTGATACGCAAAGGTAAAAAAAAATTTGAGCTTTTACGTATTATTAGGTAGATATTAGTGAAATTGGCATGAAGTGTTAAAAAAGGTGATATATATTAGTAAGAAAAAATTGAGCTTTTACATATCATCAGGTAGATATCAGAAAAGTGATACACAAAAGTTAGCAGAAAAGTGATACGCAAAAGAGTACATATAAGTATGACCTGATTTTTTTAGCATCTTATACTAGCTTCACTACTGTAAAGTAGCAATATTCGAACTACTAACTGTACGAGAAGAGCTTTAAAAACTGAAAAATATAGTAAATTTTTGGTAATACGCAAAGGTAGAATATTATAAGGAAAGAGGTAAGAGAAAATCATGCTTTTACGTATCACCAAAAATAAGGATCAGATAGTATAATTCAGATACAAAAAAAGTGATACGCAAAGGCAGAATATTATAAGGAAAGAGATAAGATAAATTTTTGCTTTTACGTATTACCAAGTAAGGGTAACAATTCGGCACTACGTGTCTCATCATTAGATTCTTTGGTATATTACCAGATAGGATAACAATTTGGTACTACGTGCTTCAAGTTTGATATATTTTTTATCATCTCAAAAACCTTCCAGATGGGACTATTTCGGCACTACGTGCCTCAACTCTGGTCCTCATCGAGGAATTAACCAGAAAGCTAGGGCACTACGTGTTCAGTTCGAACATAGCCCTCACATCGGGTCCACAAATGACGATATATGATTGAATGTATCGTCACCCGATATATGATAGTTCGAGTGCGGCCTAAAAAGCAAAATACATGTCATTCAAATGATGAGGCAAAAGCAAAAGCAAAATGCTCGTTACACTGGTGCATGTTTCAGTGGCTCTCAAGTGACGATACAAATGTAACCTATATAACATCCGATATGTAGACTATAAACATCTCATCTTTGACGAGTGTTTTGCTTTTGCCTTGTCATTCGAATGATGAGCATTTTGCTTTTGCTTCGTCACACCTGAGACTATAGTAGTCTAATATAAGTCATTTGGAGTTTATATAAACTCCAAATGACTAGATTAAAAGTATCAAAGTAAATTAAAAAAAAAAAATTACAAATACAATAGAAGTACTTAAATATATTATTTTTATATTTTAATATAGATTACATAAAATATAATATTTGAAGTAAGAAAATATGTTTAAATTAATGGTCCTGATTATATAACTATAGAAAAACCTATTAGAAAATTAAAAAGAATTATATCAGAATAATATTATTATGAATTCTTATAAAACAGATATTAAAACAGAACAACTGTATTTTGTTTAAAAAATACAAAAAATATATTATGGAAAAAATTCATTGAATTTTTTTCAAATAAATTGAAATATACAATATTTTATATTAAATTGATAGGTTATTGATATGTTTATTGAGAAGATCTTGAAAGATTATGTGCTATATATAGTATATATGGCTATAAAACATTTGAAAATATTATAAATTTAATAAAAAAAAAAATAATAAATATTAATTATCTTGAATTCTGTAATACTGTACAATTTAACTAATTCAAAAATAAGTTAATATAAATAAATAAATATAAAGAATAAAATTTTTATTTACATATCTATTTAAAAAATTAGTAAAATGACTTTAAAAATTAATTAAAATCAAAAAAATTAGTTTAGATAATTCAAGCAATTTTCAAATTGTACAAAATTGAATTAGCTATTTGAGAATTACATAAAATTAATAACAAATTGATAAAATTGAATAATTGATTTGAAAATTGAATTAAAATTGACAAAATTCAATTTTTTTTTATTTTCTCTGTGTAGTTTTTTCTTATATTACATTTTGAATTATTATTTTATTTTATTTATCGCTCTTTGCAAAATTATGTGGTCATGTGATAAAACGATCTACTAATAAAATGCCGAAAACCAGTGATTACAAAATACGTGTCATATGAAAAAATTT